TCGAAAGTGTACATGTACACTTTGGATGAGCCCACACGTGTATGCTGTGCGCTCCCGTCTATGACACGTGTACTCATCCAAAGTGTACATGTACACTTTGGATGATACCACACGTGTATGATAAGCGCGCCACACGTGTACTGTGCGCGCACACTTGGGAAGGTACCCCACGTGTACTGCACGTGGCCACACGTGTATGACAATCGTATGACACGTATATGATACGTGTACGAAACGTGTACAACACGTATACATGCGTGGTGCCCACAAGTTTCTACGCTTATTATTGTCTAATGCCAAGTGGCAACTCTAATGACGATAATTAATTATTAATTATCCATTTAGTAACCGACGCCGACGACGGCGCTCGGCCTATATAGGTCGGGTGTCGGAAGGCGCTACAGTAAAGAGGCATCAGGTGATCGGACCCCATCTCTGGTAGGATCCTCTACGGTTCCTATCTAGTTGGCTAAGTCTGGTACCTGCACCCTTCGTCGTCATCCTTTTTGTTGTTTTTCCATTACTTTTTCCCCTATTTTCTACATTTCTACACTATCTTTCTTCTTCGTTCTTCTTTCTTCTTCTTCTTGTTTACTCCTTCTAACGCACTCCCGCTAGAGTGCACCCCTTCACGCACACCGCGATGTACCCGCGGTACCGCGTCGACTCCCCTGAGTCACCCGGACAGAGGGACTCGAACACCCTGGTGGTTACTGTACCTTGCGTCGCGCCTTCAACGGCGAGATTTACGCCCTCGTTGGCGGTGTGGAGGTGCACTGCACTACACGTCATTTGCAAGCAACTCGGACCTCACGTCCCACCTTTGGTTACGTCTGCTTTCTGTCTGATGCCACTGAAGCAGTTCTACCTATCGCCTTTAAGTCATACAAGGCACGTAGGGTGACGCGATCGGTAATGGAAGCGGAGTTAATAAGTTTAAGTGTCATGTTTGACTGTTGTTTTACCTTGGCCGAGAATCTACGGAGTATCATGCAGGTCAAATTTATTCCAGTACAGTTATACACGGATAGCAAGTCGCTGGTCGATGTGATATCCAAGGGTACGAGGACCGCGGAAGAGAGGCTCATGTTGGACATCGCGGTGGCAAAAGAAGGATTTTGGAAGAAGGAAATCAGTGACATTGGTTTCGTGCGGAGCAACAATAATGTTGCTGATGGATTCACTAAGAAGATGCATCAAAAGGCCCTCATGGATGTTTTGGGGGCAGGAAAATTATCCATTCGAGCTGAACAATGGATAGTCAGAAACTGAACCGAAGCTCAGTTATCACGTTTACGTTTATTTGAATTTTTTTCTTATTTTTCAGTGTCACCTTAACAATCTCCCGTACCTCAGCTACTCTTAATTGAGTTGCATCATCACCGCCGACTCGTCGTAAGATATCCTCAGTGAGCGCGAACGGAAAAAGTGACGAGCTATCATGTATAATGCCCTTCTTGCAGTCTACAGCTACGCAGTGGTCCACAATGCCATGTTGTGTAATTCTGACAATCCATATACCTGTGCACCGATTGACCAACCATTTAAATGGATTCTTATTGAATTCACCTTTCTCCGTTTTCGGGATACGCCGAACATTTATCCCGACCGGAAGCTGATGGACAAAAATGAAAAGCTGCTTCAATGTTTTAACCTCGTCGGGTCCGAGTCAAAATATTTTTTGACTTGCAAAGCGGTGTGTTCCTCGTACAAATATTCGCATGCGTTGGATACAGCCGCTGGCACAACGTCTCATTATTACTCCGAATGATATTTGGTCCGTAGTCGTCAACCTCGAACTTGCGCGACCCGGAGATATGTCCACGAGCTCCAATCCCTCCAACGACCATCGATGTTCCACGACACCTTTCCATCATTTTTAACAATTGGCGTAGCAACTCATGGCTTTTTGCTGCTTCGTCTTCCTGTACGCCCGTCCCTGTGTGGAGTTGTTTGATCATCGCCAAGAAGGAGTATGGGGTTAGTTTCAGCGAACTTGGCTCGATTGGTCAAAAGCTTTCCGGTCCTCCGGTCACTCCACCGCACGCGTACAGTGCACCATCACGCAGTGTCTTTCCGCATTTCCCAGTTGTGCCGTCTCCAACAACGATACGCTCGATTCCCCATGTCATCTGGCCTCATCGATACTAGATATTGGAACACCTCCCCGGAGATTTGTGTCCACTTTTGTTCTCAGGTGGACCGTCTCGTGTGCAGGACAAGAAGCGGGCGACCGCTTGCGAGTGCAGGCTATTATACGATACGAGTCGAAGAAGCTGTCGTGTGGCCAAGACACCACTCCAGTGCCACGTAAGCGAGACTTAGCAGTCATTTTTCCGTAATTTTAATTTCGTTTTATTTCGCAGGGACAGACAGGAATTGTCGTGAACGAATAGGGGAATTGTCAATCTTTTTGGCTTACAGCCAATAACATTGTCTTTATTCGTTCACGGGAGACCGAGGGGTCGATGCTCCCGCAATACCCTGTGTGTGTTCCCCGTCAAAAAGGGGGGGTATACTATTCTCAGCTCCCCACCCGGTGACTAGCACCTGGAGGAGGGTAGAAGAAAAAGCAGTAAACACATTTTTAGTGAAAGCTGCTTAACCATCGCATTCGGCGTTTGGGCCTCGTCCTATCCTGTACTAATACTAATTTCCGTGTCTGTCTGTCTGTCTGTGTGTGCGTTCCCGCGTTGCCATTGGCGCACGGGGGCGCTGCCGTGACAAGTGGCGGCCACGGGCGGGGCCTGGCCGCAGGCCAGGTCCGCCACGTGGACACGAGGTGGCTTCAGGCACGATCGTAGCACTACAGTACAGTAAAAACTTAAATTTTGAATGCTACACTACAGTACAGAAAAAATAAAAAATACACTCCCGACCCGCTTCGCGTTCTCTACCGATCCCCGCGCACACCGTCTACGCAAGTGAGTAAGTTAATAACTGTCCTCAATGCTCTGGCCAGCTTGCTGCCCGCGGCATTTGAGCGCACGCGAACGCTTACTGACTATACACGGTGTGTGTCTTTTCTGCGAAGTGTCTACTCAAGAAGAACGCCCAGAATTGCGAGCCGCGCGACGCGGCGCTACCCCGATCCGCCTGAACTTTTCGGAGTCCCCCACAGCGTCGACACGTGTCAACGTAACTCATCCAGCCCCGCCCTGTGCGCCCGCCCCACGTGTCCACGTCCCTTCGATTGCCCCCGCGCCCGCCCCACGTGTACCGCGCGCCCCTCTGCCACGTGTACCACGTCTTCCGCCGGCCCCTGCGCCGGCACCCGCACCACGTGTATCGCGCGCAACGGTCCCACGTTTTACACGTTTACCTCCGCCTGTCATTCCTACGTTTCGTGGGCTACGTGTGCCACGTGCGATCGAGCGGCCGCGTGCGCGCACGTTGCCAGCTGTCACTGCTGTGTTGCGCAGTGTCCCCGTATACACGTGTGACACCTGCAACTTTCATTGCTCGCGCGCGGTACTGTAGGATGGGCATGCGCATACTGAGGGGCATGTGGCTCAAGTGAATCAAGCGGGCCGAACATTCCGGTGCGAGGTGTGTGCGTGCACGGTTGCCACTGCACACGACTTCAGGCGACATCTGGCGGGCAAGAAGCACAAGCGTAAGCTCCGATCTATCACGGGATAGTACAAGAAAATAAAGGCCCTATTGTTACTACTTTGCTAATTGCTCTCGCGGACGACCTTGCTGGCTGACGTTGCGTTTTGACCTTTGAGGACTGCTTGCTACGACTCATGGCGATTTACAACGGACCTCTCGCACTTGCGTCAACCCTAGCTGCACTTACAAGGATTTCACTAGCGTGCCGAGCAGAACGGAAAAGGCGGGACCAGTGGATGAAGACGTGGCAGAAGCAAGAAGGCAGCAAAGAAACGCGCGTGCAAGGCAAGAAGAGCGCAAGAGACTGAAGCTGATGCTCAAGCACGTCGTGAGGCAGGTCGAGACCGTGCGAGAATCCGGAGGGCTCAACAAACCGAATCTGAGACTGCAGCGCGTCGCCCAACCAACCGGGAACGTACTGCAGCACGACGAGCAGCAGAGACTCCTGAGCAGCGCCAAGAGCGTCTCCAACGAGGCAGGGAGAGAGCAAGGGCGCGCAGAGCGGGAGAAACAACCCCCCTCCGAGAATCACGGCGCGAAGCGCATTGCATTGCGACACGGGGCGCTAGAGCGGAACAAACAACCCCCCTCCGAGATGCACGGCGCGAAGGGAGCGCATTGCGTCACGAAGCGCTAGAGCAGAGGAATGTACTCCCATTCGTGAAGCGCGGCCAGACCTTGACCGTCTCTTCACCCAACGATCAAGGGATGCACAGGACACACCGATTCGGAATGCGCGGCAAGGGTCCGACCGCCACGCTTGAAGTGCTTCCCGACAGCTCTTATCTCCACTTCCCGACTCCTCGCCTTCGTACCGCGATCTCGGCATGATCTGTACTGAGTGTTCGCACTGCAAAGCTTTGCATTTCGTCCAAGAACGCCTCTTGAGCAGTTCTGCGGCAAGGCCGATGTTTTCCACATGCTGCAAGAAGAGAAAGCTGTCATTGCCCCTTCTTCCCGACCCTCCAGCTCTTCTGCGCTCTCTTCTCATCGATGATACTCAAAGGTCCCGGCGCTTCCGTAAGAACATTCGAGCATACAATGCAGCGCTGTCTATGGCATCCGTGGTCGCCAAATGGGTGAACAGAGGGCCCGGCCCTTCCAATTTTAACCCAACAATGACGATACAGGGCGAGATGTACCATTACATGGGTCCCATGATGCCATCCGAGGGGCGGGTGCCTTCCTACGCTTCCGTTTACATTCACGACACCGACTACACCACCCAGACGAGTACAAGGCTTGGAAACTCTACACGACTGGAAGAGGCATTGATGACGCAACTAACGCACATGCTGTACGAATGCAACCCCTACGTGCAGATATTTCTGTGTATGCGAGAATGAGCTCCATCTCCTCACAACAACACTCCAGCCGCGTACCAGATGGTCATCCATGCCGACCGCAGGCCAAGTTATGAGCACGTGCGCCAGTACAATGGTCCCGAAGCTTCTGAAGTGGCTGCATTGATCCCTGGAAATGAAAACGGAGAGATTGGCCGAAGAGATATCGTCGTTTGCAGGCGAGGGACTGTGAACAGTAACGGGAACGAAGTGTTGGATCCGATTTCAGTCAGTCATCGTGCATACGATCCATTGAGTTACGTGCTTTTGTTCCCGAACGGTAGAGATGGATGGTATCCAGAGCTTCGATTCTCCAGTGAGGACGACGGCAGACGTACCAAGATAACTCCGATGATGTTCTACGGATGGCATTTGTTCGAAAGGGCAGGTGAGTTCATCATGATCTTACACGCAGCGCGACTCTTTCAGCAATATTTAGTTGACCAGTTCTGCAAAGTGGAGGCAGAAAGGCTTTCGTATCTCCGCCACAACCAGACACAACTTCGAGCCGCCGACTACACCTCACTTCGCGACAGCCTAGGAGACTCCGGTCGTGCTGAAGATGAAACCGACGCTGTACGTGCAGGACGACTGTTCATTCTCCCTTCTACGCACATCGGATGTGACCGCTACATGAGGCAGCATATGCACGGCATCATTGCTATATCTAACCAAATTGGCCACCCGGACATCTTCCTCACCATGACATGCAATCCTTGCTGGCCGGAGATCACAAGAGCCCTGCTGCCCAATCAAACTTCTCAGGACAGACTGGATCTGTGCGCACGTGTGTTTCGTCTCAAAATGAAGGATCTCATGTCCTTGGTCATCAACGAGGATGTGTTCGGAACCGTTGTTGCCCATGTACGAGTCATCAAATTTCAGAAACGAGGTTTTCCCCACGCTCACGTGGTATTCTTCCTAGATGAGGTCTCCAAGAATGATCTGCGTAATCCCGAAAACGTCGACCGCATTATCTCTGCCGAGATCCCGTCTGCCCAAGATCCAGAACTCCAAGAGGTCGTGCTTAAGCATATGATTCACAATCCATGTGGAGAACGCAATCCAACAGCCGTGTGCATGGGCGAGCAGTACTGCAGGAAACGGTTTCCAAAACCGATCAAACACGAAACCAGCCAGTCCGAAAGTGAGTACTACATCACGTACCGCAGAAAGTCCCCCTGAGCAGGTGGCGTCTCCATCGGGCGTCCCTCCCGTATTGGCCGACGACAGCAATCCGTCGTGGTCGACAACTCCTGGTTCGTGCCCCACAGTCCTCTACTTCTAAGATCGTCCGCTTTGCATTTGAATGTGGAACTCTGCGTGTCACGCGTTGGCGGAATCAGGTACCTCTTCAAGTATGTGTGCAAGGGACAAGACCGAGTGATCATGGAAATCACTGCCAAAAACGAGTGCTACGACGAGATCTCGAACTTCCAAGATGCCAGATACGTGTCTGCATCGGAGGCCGCATGGAGGTTATTCTCCTTTGATATGTTGTGGATCGCAATCCTCCAGTGGTCAGACTTTCAGTGCATCTGCCCAACCACCATATGGTTTACTTTGAGGAAGGAAGAGAGCAGGAGGCGGCGCTTCGACCGGCATCAGGTACGAAGCTGACCGAGTGGTTCAAAGCCAACGAAAATTACCCAAGCGCGAGGCATATTCGGTACCACAAGTTTCCAAAGTACTTTACGTGGAAGAAAAGCAGCAAGTCATGGAGTCCAAGAGCATCCCTGCGAAGACGGAACGCCAGCAGCGAAGAGGAAGCCTATGATTTCAGTGGCACGGGCGCCAACGTAGTCGGTCGAATCTATACTGTCAGTCCGAGGGAGGGTGAGCCCTACTTTCTTCGCCTCCTCATCACACAAGTGCCGGGGGCAACATCCTTCGAGAACTTGCGAAACATCGACGGCGAGCAGTGCACCAGCTTCCGACAAGCGTGCTTACGACTTGGTTTGCTGGCCAACGATGCCGAGTGGAAGCACGTCATCTGAGATTCATTCCGGTCAAGCTTCGTTCCCCTTTCTCATCTGTTCGCTACGATTCTCGCACATTGCCAACCTTCGGATCCTCTCTCGCTGTAGAACGACCACCTGCACATGTTTCTCACCGATATTCGCAATCGCGCACGCGGACAACCCATTCGAAGACAGCAGTTTCGCGATGATCACCACGCCACAGCTTACGTGCTTGGAGAGGTACAGGAGGCCCTGCAGACGGTGCGTTCCAACTGGACGCTCGCACACTTCGGACTCCCACTCCCCGATGACAGCCTGCCCGCTTCGGAACAGACAAACGAGATCCAGACACCCGAAGCACAAGCGCAGTAGTGCGAAGAGCGACTACAGACATCGTTGCCGCTGTTAAACACAAATCAGCGCCATGCCTTTGACGAAATAGTAGGCTCCATGCTTCCAGGCGTATCCGTCTCGGCATTGCTTCAAGGATCCTCCAGCGCCGTTGCCGGACCTTCTATGCCAACACAAAGTAGTCGTCTCTTCTTCCTCGATGCTCCTGGCGGAACAGGCAAAACGTTCGTGCTCAGCGCCATTCAAGACTTCCTTCGTTCGCGCCCCAAGCAAGTCATCGCCGTCGCCATATCTGCTGTTGCTGCAGTGTTGCTCGACGGTGGACGCACCGCTCATTCCGTGTTCAAGATTTCCATTCCTGTATCTGCTGAAAGCACTTACAGCTTCTCCACAAACTCCGATACCGGTCGTACATTGCAACAAGTCGATCTTATCATATGGGACGAGATCGTCATGTGCTATCGAAACTGCATTGAGACTGTCGATCGCTCCCTTCGCGACTTGATGCAAGCCGACCGGCCCTTCGGAGGAAAGTTCCTCGTGCTCGCTGGAGACTTTAGACGAATCCTTCCCGTCGTTCCGGGCGGGTCCAGAGGTCAAATCGTGAGCGCGTGCGTCAAATCTTCCCCGCTGTATCGAGAGTGCCGATTCCTGTGCCTTACCGAGAACATGCGCCTCACTGCTCTCCAAGGGGACCCCGCAGCAGATGTGGAGGCTCTCAACTTCCCACAGTTCCTCCTCAGCGTCGGGGAAGGCAGACTTCAATGCGATCAGCGCCCGGAATGGATCTCACTACCACAGTCCGTAGCGTTCGAGCACACCATCCGCAATTTATGCCTCAAGGTCTTCCACGGCATTCGAGACAATCACGCCGACCCTACATGGCTCACAAAGCGCGTTATACTCACCACAAAGAACAGACCGCTCGAGCAGGTCAACGAAGTCATCGGCAACATGATGCCGGGACCGTATCGAACATATTTAAGCGCAGACAAGGTCGAGAGCGAAGACACCAACGCGCTGATCTATCCCACGGAAATGCTCAACACCTTGACGGCCGGGTCTGATCTACCAGACCACAAGCTCAAGCTCAAGAAAGGTTTCATCGTCATGCTTCTGCGCAATCTCGATCCCACTTCCGGTCACGTCAACGGCGCTCGATATGTCATGGAGAAAATGACCAACAACCTATTCTTTCTACGCGTTACCTCGGGGTCACATGAAGGCAACAGACTCTGCCTTCCACGAATGCCCTGCGGACCAGGTGACGACAAAATCCCATTCCTGGCTTTACTCGAACGCAGTTCCCCATTCGCACGTGATTCGCCCTTACAACGAACAAAGCCCAAGGCCAGTCCTTCGGTGGCCGCATTGGTCTCGACCTACGAGATCATTGCTTCTCGCACGGTCAACTCTACGTCGCATTATCGAGGACTACTCACTCAGGCAACGTCACTATCCTCACTCGAGAGTCCGATGCAACAACGCGAAACGTAGTGTACCCCGAGGTCCTTCAGTAGTCATCAAAAAAGTAAACGCCATTCTCTTTACGTCTCGCCTTTGCCACCCTTCCGAATTATTGCTCCTCCACGCGGACTTGGCTCGGCGCGCGAAGCGCGCACGGAGCCCACTTGTCCAATACTACTAAAATCCGTGTCTGTTTGTCTGTCTGTTTGCCAGTCTGTGTGTGCCTGCCTTGCCATTGGCGCTGTGGTGAAAAGTGGCGTGACAAGTGGCGGCGGCCACGTGCGGGGCGGCCTGGCCGCAGGCCAGGGCGCCACGGGGACACGTGGCTGCCACAGGCACTAAAAATCCGTGTCTGTCTGTCTGTTTGCCAGTCTGTGTGACAAATGGCGGCCACGGGCAGGGCCTGGCCGCAGGTCAGGCCGCGCCACGGGGACACGTGTGTCCTGGCGGCCACGGGCGGGGCCTGGCCGCAGGCCAGGCCGCCACTGGGACACGTGGCGGTGACAAGTGGCGACAAGTGTAAAAATTAGAATTAAAATGACTGTGCGGACTGCGGAGCGCGGCTGCGCTACAGTACACTACAAATTTTAGCCCGGATCCGTTTAAACCGCGCCACGCGGATCTACATAGTGGGAAGAACTGGGGCGGGCACTGCGAGCACGTGACGGCGGTGTAGTAGATGGACGCGTACGACGGGGGGCGGACGCGTGAGACACGGGGCTGCCCGAATTGCCGGAGGCTCACAGCGTCGTGGGCAGGGCGGTGGTGCGCGGGCGGCTGTCCGGGGGGGGCCGGAATTCTTCAAGGCGGAGTTGCGCAGCGCGTGAAGCTTCGACGTTGGGGAGCGGATGTGGATGCGCGGCGACGGGGAAGTGCAGGGCGGGGCGGCGACGGGCGGCGACAGGGACGGTGGGCTGCAAGATGATGGTGGGCGGAGAGCAGTTTTGGGTGTGCGGCGACGACGTGGAGGAGGTGTGGGCCGGGGCGGCGATGGGGACGGTGTGGGAGGGTGAGCGTGGGGCGTCCGTGGCGAATAGAGGGG